CTTCCGCTCAAAAACAACACTATTCATTGGAACATGGAGTATTTAAATTTCTTTCAGCATGTAGTATTAACAGGACGGGAAACCTATAGCATGGGAATCATATGACCATGAGCTTCGTGCCTCCAATTTAAATACAAAAGATTAAGACAAAATAATTATATTTTATTATTTAAATCGAAAACTGCTCAACATCAAATCTTAAAACCCTCCGTGATTTTTCCTCTCTGTGAGAATAATCTTTCGTGAAAATCTCAAGGCACAATGTTAGTTCGGTCTTTTTTTAAAAAAATAAAATGGGAGTGGTGATCTCGAATCATCGCAAACGAGATGCGTGGTTTCGAGGTTTCGCCGTTGATGTTCCAAAAATAGTGCATTTCCTTCAGAAAACACACTAAAACGTGTTACATTCCTAAAATTTTAAGCTCATTTTATTTTCCCACATTTTCCGGATTTTCATTTCCTGCGTTGAGTCGTTTTTGAACCAAAGGATTCAATTATTATGACCGTGGACGTGGCAGCGCGGATCAAATAATGTGGAAAGCAGGATGGAGGATTTGCGACCGAGAGAGAGTGACCAAATTGTGCAACGTCAAGTGGCCAACCCCTCCGCCTAGCTCAAAGCTCAGGATTCAGCGCCATCTAGCAACTGGGGAGACAATGCCCCGAACGCACTTTGCATGATTAAGTGTGTCTCTAATCCGCAGCCCTGCCTCGGAATGAGCCAAAAAGGCTCCTACGACCATCTCCACGACTGTCCAAACGAGTGTGACTATTTCGGTGAGAAAAAGGAAGCACACCACCAATTGCATATTTTCCGATTCAGGGGTGCAAAGAATGCCAGATCTCAGTAATTGTGGATCGTGGAAAATTTTCGGCCGTGGGGAAATTTTTAAAATTAATGGACTTTTCCTCTCTACATGGAAAAAAACAACTTAGCGCTGAGCCCTAAACTTAGGGTAAAATAGCGCCAACCGCAGGCTGTAGGACTGGACCCTAAAGCTGTAGGACTCAGAACTACTGCCTTTATTTGGCGATATGATACTTCGAGTGTTAGGGCTCGGCGTTGTTATCCGTATACTCACCACTTGAATTGGTTGCCTATTTTGATAGGAGATCTGGTATTATGTTATGAAATTGGACATTTTTCTGTCCAATAAAAAAATGTTTAAATCATATCAATGGCCAAAGTGCGAAACCACGTATGTCCATTACAGTGTTTCAAAATTGTTACTCCGATTGTATTATTTTTGGAGAGAAAGAAGTCAACTTTATTGCTTGAGATTTCTACACAATATTCTACCAGCCGAAAAGAAAAATCAAGGAAGTTTTCGAGAAATTACGTCGGCTAGTTTCTCGAAGGAAAATACAATATGTCCGAAAGTCTGTAATGTTGCAACTGGAGAAATATAGTTTTTCACTTCAGTCATCGATATTGTAAATTAAAAACAAATTTTATGCCGGATTCCAAGAGACTTTTTCCACTTCAGACTTTTTTATTGGCTGCAATGTTCTTTTTCTAACGTGACGAACATTTGTTTCGATTTCAAATGATAATTATTAGGACAACAAAAGAAATCAATGAAGATCAAGCGAGGAAACAAGAGAAGAAGAATCAACGAAAAATTTGCTTTGAAACATTTTTTTTTAACAACTTTTTTCACCATGCGGCAAATCGAAAATTTAGCCATGAGGCGAAAAAGCCGTACTGCGATCCGGTGACGGCGCGGCGATGGAAACTGCCGGTTGAAGTTTCGGAACTTTTTGCACCCCTGTTCCGCTCCTTAGAGCGAATTAATTTCCCGTATTATCCGTAATCGCTTTTTTCGTGGAAGGTTTTTCCACAGATAAGGAGGGCGATTTGTCATGCCATGAGCGGGCCATTCGATAAGAGGAAATGACCAGATCCGGACTTCCCTTTTCTTGCTATGCATCCTATTATTTTTCGCGCGTTTAATACAAATTTATCACGAGGAGGAGTGCAAGAGAGAGCAGAGTGACTTTCAGTGACATCATCCGGTCGCTGATAGAGATAAGAAAATTGCAACAAATTTTACTATCCGTGATAGTATATGGGAGCTCAAAATCCGCTGTGTTCTCACCCTGCTTTCGACCACACAATTGTGACCTACACATAATTACGCTCAATATCGGGTTTACAAAAGTAACGTTTGTCAAATCTAGTCTGGGTTTAAAAGATTGAAGAAAGTGAAATAATTATGTGCACAAGCTTGGAAGACTCTTGATGGACGATCTTCTCTCTCTTTACATTGCAAGTCTTGATTCAGTGGTAACTGCTTTGGTTTTTACTATCAGCCAAAGTTGTACAAATAAATATTTTTATTTTTATGTGTAGAATGATTTAAAGTTATTTATTAATGAGGTTTAAGACCCTAAAAACTCGGGGATAAAGGTTAGGTAACCCTCATTACACATCTCTGGGAAAGAAGTAGCCCAATGGGTTATTCACCCCATTCAACATTCTTCTCATTCTTCTTTTTATCAGAGCTTGCGTGTGACAGGAGATACTTCTCCAATCCAAATAAGACCCAAATATCGGTACAAAACGATTTACGATGTACGCAGAGTCACTCGGGCATACCTCCTATGAAACATAAATATCCCGAAAGTATTTCCCCAGAATGGGAAAACCTTACAACACTGGTTCCTCCTTGGAACATCCAGCTGTGGAGGTATAATTAAAATCTTCAAGCCGGGCTAAATGAGACATTAAACAAATAATAAAAAGAATCAATTTAATGAATGTAGCGACGAAGCACGACAAAACTCCTAATTAGAACATTCTGGGGACGAAAATATTTATTAGCTTGATTCTTGCCAATTTTTCGCGGTTCCGTGATGAGAGCAAAAAGGGATATCAAAGCTCACGCTTCCGATAAAAAGACAATCGAAAGAATCGGGTTTAACGATCGAGTGGTTTGTTGTTGGTCAATGATATCGCTGTTACTGCGTGTATAGAAATCGTCACCTTCTGGCCAAAGTATCACAAGCGCCATGCGACGTCTCAAAATTTCCGCCGCCATTTTATTTATTTACAGAGAAATTATCGGTTGAATCTGTCTCAAAATTTCACTGATAAGCGCAAAGATAATTCAGTAAAATTGGAAAATTTCTCTGCAAAAAAATAAAATGCGTGAATTTTGAAGCGTCGAAAATTCATGGCAGAACTGTCGGATAAGTTACTTACAACTAGAGAACTACGTCACACAATTCCTAGTAGCATTAGAAGCCTCAAACACCCTTTAACTAAGAAATGTCTCAATTTAAGTCATTGAGAAGTAAATATTCCTCAGGATTAAAATTACGGAAATAACGTAATAGATAGGGTACTTGGGTTCGTTGCAGTACCTAGATACATTTTAAGGTAAATACAAATAAATTTTGAAGGAATGGATTTATAATTACAACTTTCTGCATAAAAAGAGAGATAATTTTTTAAAAAAATTGAACGTTTGATTATTCAACCTTAGTTTTCCGAAAAGATTTTAGTTTCTTAGTTAGACTTAGTTTTCCGTTGATTCGATTCCGAAAAATATGAGATAAATTACTTGATATTTATTTATTTATTTATTTATTTATTAACAAGTTTCATTTAAATTCGTCCAATTTGAAAGCATGTATAATCATTTAAAAACATACTACCAGCACTTTATATATTATGGCAAAGAGCACTTTTAGCAGAAAGAAGCACCGCTCCTAATAAACTACAGGACAGAAAAGAAAGAGCTCGTACTTATTTTCCTCCTGGTATATGATATCACCCTGTTGAAGGGCTAATTTTGTTGGGCTTAGATTTCCACCTTTACGTGTTGATACTTTAAAAAATTTAACTTTAGATTTTCAAAACTATTTTTAGACGAGAAAGAAAACAAACCTACGATTCTACAATACGCCAGGGAAGAAGAACGCAAGACGTGAAACGGTCCAAAAGGCCGAACCTGACAGCCCAACCCTTGTAAGATATGAGAGTCATGATGCATTTTTCTTTCTCCACTCAAACATCAAATCAGACCTACGATTTGCTAATTCTCATCTTCCTATCTCCAATTTTGCTAAAGTGTAACCTTTTTTACGTGATGGAACAACAACCCTGCTCAATAAGGTCAAAAACATCTTCCTCCACTATTCAATAGGAGAGGTCCGTAAACATGGGGTACGATTACCAGACTTACCTAACTATAACTATGATAAGCTTAGTAAATGACCAGGTATTTCGAAGAGGTTCGACTGGGAGAGTCATTATAAGCCATATTATAATTTGCCTCCAAAATAAGCTAGATTTTAAAAAAATTTCGCTGCCCTTCAAAATAAGCTTTGATGATACGATGGACAATTTTAAATGCATGATGTTGCTTTTCCGGCCTGTGCAGGAGGAGTCACTCGCGGAAATGGTCAGATATTTTGTTTTAGAGATGTTTTTTTTTTTTTTTTCTTTTCCTCACGAATGGATAATTAAGCTATCGAAGAAATGAAAGATTTCTATTTGTTTCAAAATGTATGCAGAGGTGCCGCGGAAAAGACGTCGCTACCTAACTTTGGGTAGTTGAGTGATGTCTATGGTAAGGGTTGTTGTTTTGGGGCGCGGGTTGAGAGATTGTTACAGGAGACATTCTGTCACTGGAATTTAAACAGAGTACCTCAAGGTTTTCCATGAATAATATTTTTTCGCTTTAGTCTAATAATTAGGTGACTTTTTTCGTGAATTTTCAACTGAATGCACTCAGAGTTGCCGCAGTATCACCGCTGGGACCCCTCAGAATGGTTAATGGTTGTGCAAGAATGCCAGAAAATACGTTTCACTAAAATCTATCGTCATAATTTTAATCCAACGTGAGAAAACCAACATTTGAATGAAACTGATTGAAAAAATCGGTAAAACCCGCTGCTTTACGTAACAGAGAAAAAAAGCAGTCTTCAAAATCACCCATCCAGATTTTTGACGAAAAACCTTTCCTTTCCCCGGAAAAACGATTGACACGTACCTGGAGTCCGTTCTCGGCGAAATTCGCGGTTCCTTTGGCATTAGCCGCCATCCAAGCCTCGGAAAAAATCTCCATAGCGTTCTGATAGTCCATTTTGAAAGAGAGTCAAAATAAAACCAACACAATTTTCCAAACCGGAGTCAACCGAGCAGTCGGCAACATGTAGATACGCACGGGGGCCTCATGACAGGGGATGAAAACACAAAGAGTCAAAAAGAAACACAACACGCGGGTGGCTCCGAGCACATGGCAAGGTTTCGGACGATCGGGAAAAGCGTGCGGGGACAGAGGAGCCGGCGACATGCACTCGCCTCGGGTGTAGGACGTAAACTGGAGTCGCGAGACGCGCTGCGCGGCGCGGGACAGATTCGGGCCGGCCGCCACCGCGCCGCGCCCCGCCGGGGACGGTTAACCACCCACCCGCACCCCTGGACCCGTTAGCATCGTGCGCCTTTCAACCCTTCACCGTGCGTAGATAGTCTTCTCCTCAAGATGTAGAGGTCCAGCTTGGAAGGGATGTTGATTTGAAGACGACTTTATTCTAAAGCTTTATGGTCATCGTGCGCAGTCTTCTTCTCAAAATGCGGCCTTTTTTATCGCGTGTGCCTCTCAACCCTTCATCGTGCGTAGATAGTCTTCTTTTCAAGATGTGGAGGTCCAGCTTGGAATGGATGTCCATTGGGAAAATATTTTATTCTGAAGCTTTTTTATTCGTCACTTTCCAGCCGAAGTGTCACAAGCGCCATGCAACGTTTCAAAGTTTCCCAAAGCCATTTTATTTTTTTTTACTGAGAAATTTTTGGTTGAATCTGCTTGAAAATTTCACTGAATTCAATCGGTAGCACAGAGAAAATTTAGAAAATTTTCGGACAGCTTTGTTGAAAAATTTATCCGTAAAAAAATTAAACGGCGGCGGAAATTTTTAAACGTCGCATAGCGTTTGTGACATTTTGGCCGGAAGGTGACGACTTTCTTCTTTACTTAGGAGATGTAATACGGTCGACTGTAAGATGGTATTTTAGTTAAACAAAATAAAAATATTCAAGTGATTAAGTTAGGCCCAGATTTGACTTTTTGCGCCTTCATACTGGTTTCAATGGGAAAGATCACGCACCAAGGGGGAAGTTTTTTTTCTTAAAGAATGTGTGTTTATAGCAAGCTTGATACGTAAGATTCAATTTTTAAGTTTTTAGCACGTTAGCACATACGCTGAACTTTAGAAATTTGTTTGGGTCTGCCCCCAGGAGGAAGAGGAGGCCCTTTTTTATGCGGTTTAGAGATTGAGGAGTCCTCTTATTTATTTTCTATCTCTATTTCAAATTTGAGGGAGTTATCTCTTGGCTTCTCAGAAAATGTATCACACACTGAAAGATAAAAGTGACTTCTGAAATTATACTTACATTCAATGTTGATTTAAAACCGCAAATTAAAAAAAAAAAAACCATCGGCGAGGTTTATGTCTTAAAGAAATTCCACCACGTAAATGAGTTAGCATTCTGAAATGCTGCATATAGAGCTCTTGTATGAATGTATCTAATTTTCTCTGCTTGTTAATGCTACTTTTAAAATGTCCAAAATATGATACCCAAAATGTGTTCTATCATTAGAGCATGATTGTGGAATCAGGGAAACTGATCTACCTATGTAGAATGTCTCGTGAATTCACTTATTCGGGAAACTTTTCAAGGCGCACGGTCAACACATCGAAAGTACTATTCATCACAAGAGTGATGATTGAATATATCAAGTTTTTTTTTCACACATTCAACTGCACTAAAATTAGTGTGTTTGGTCAGCGTTTTTAACTCGCAATCATTTAACAGAATAATGACCCAACTCGACAAACACCGAGACCTCGCAACGAGATGCAGGCAAAAAATAATCATTAACGAATACAGAACTTACATTGGCAAAAGAAGGTGCGGTATGCACTGAACAGTCACATCATCATGATGTGACATGACTTTTCAATGAGGATAATCAGTGTAAAAATCCTCTTAAAAGAGAATTTTGACTTGAGGTTCTCTGAATTGGGAGAAATCAGAGATTCTCAAACCGGATCTGTTTTGACGGGACGGAAGAATCCTACATCGCCTTAAATATCCCCTAAATATTCATGGTTGAGCGGAGTTCACTGATTTTTGACAATTTTCCAGGAAATTGCATGCCCCTATGATATTGCGCTGTCCATATAGAAACTATTGAGTAGCCGAACTTTCGGCGTTTAATAATTTAGGATTTTATGTGATTTCAAGAGATCGTGGTTTTGGCTTATTTATGTCACAGCCAGTAGCGATTTTGCAAGGTGAGAAAAAAATGAAAATTCATCAAAAAGATCGATTTAAGGTGAGAACATATTTAAATGTAGGAAAAGCAGTGTCGCCAACTTTCGAGAATCGCTACAAGTCACGGCTAAATTATCAACGAGGGGGTTTCCTTAAATATCTTTGTTGTTAATCAGATTTTGAAAATTCACGATCGGAGGTGGATTTATGAATCTTTTCACCCGGTGCAAAATCAATTTAAGCGCTCCGTAAGGGGAGGTTTGAGGGACCATCCAAAACTAAAGAGGGACTCAGGGGGGGTGGGGGCGCTCTGGGATCCATGAAAACATTTATTTATTGCATTTGCCACAAACGATTGAGCCATGTGTGTGTCACTTTTTCTTTTTTTGAACTAAATAACTATACCTACTCTCCATTAAATTTGTCGCTTATCAGGCAAAATCGGAGACAAACTGTAAGCAGACGTTATTTGTCAATAAGTTGTCAATCTTTCCTATCTAGCACTACTAATGTAGATTGTTCGAATAGATAACCATTCGTGTCCCCAGGTCAGTATGTTGCCTATGCAACAAAATTTTAAATGGACGATACCTACAAGTTCGTTTATTGGCTCAACCATAGCTATAATGGAGCGATGTTGATGTGAGTTTTTCGAGTAGATAACTATTCGCGCTCCCAGGCCGATATGTTGCCTATGCGGCAAAATTGAAGGCTAATTGAAATGAACTATACCTCCCAATAGATTTACTCACTACACATTGTCATCAGTTCTGGCCAAAAATTGTATGAGAAGGAATAACCGTCGATTCTTTATTGTATAACTATTTGAGCTCTCTTTTTGCTGCTATTAATTGCGTTTGAATTGATGGCGAGATTCAAGTAGACGAAATCTCCTAATAGAATCATACATCATCGGTTCAGTCAAAGCATCCACATAGCGGAATAGCTAGTTTTTCCAATAGCTCGCTATTTTTGCTCTCCTGTGCTTTCCATTCTTCCTGTTTCTCTTCGTTACTTTTCATTTTTTCTCTTTTCTTTCTCTTCATCTTTTTTCTTCCTTCTCATTTCAACGCTCTCGTTGTGATTGCACCCAGTCCAGCTGCTCCTCATGCGCCACCCTGAATCCGGCCCTTTATGATTTTAATAAAGAACCCAGGATTTTTCAAAATTTTGAACTTAAAAATGAATCAAACCACAAGTGTTATTCTCGAAATTGTGCGCATTATTAACTTCCTAACGAATCTGAATGTCCAGATTGGAAAAAAAAAACAGGAAATATTTGAAAAGTGCAAAATTTTGTAACATTGAAATGATTACTTAAGCGCTAAAAATCACGGAAATTGCCCGAAGATAAGCTTGGACTGCCTCTTGCAATTAGGTACTGTAATTTCTAGTTCCTCAGTAAAAAAACACATGTGCCTATAAGGAAATCAATGGCACACGCGTTGTTTTTAAAGTGAGCCAGAAATTGTAGCTCCTAACTGAAGCGCAAGATGCAGAACGAGCATTTCTTGGTTCATCCGCTGTAACGAGAGCAAATGCATGGCATTCTTTAAAACCTTTACTGAATTTTCTTTATGCCTTTGCACTGCCGAAAACTGAAAATTTGCTCAATTGTTTCCTCCCTAAAATATTAATCAGCGGTGGATATTATGAAACACCGCAACCAAAAAATGGCTCCTCAATTGCGCTTTCAGGGCGAAATCTCAGACTTTTCCGAAATTGTGATCGTGATTTTGGGACAGCTTTAGGTCGAGTAAGTTTATTTATTCATCAGTATCAGCGGAACAAGTAAGAAATGCCCTTTCTGCAGCGAATGCCTCAATTGAAAAAGGAATCAATGAGAACGGAAACACACCAACTCGGTAACTGGAAAATGCTTAATTTCCATGGAAGACAGTTAATTTACATTGAAGTTAGCGAATATGTTCCAACTTGGACCTTTAAAGTGTCAATAAGAGATTGTCTTTCGGCAGCAAACACGGTCTTAAACTAACTTCTCCACCTATTCTGCAGTTTTGTGTGTGTCTTGACTACTTTCATTTTTCCGAGTTGTTGCGTTTTCATTCTCACTGATTCAAGTGCGGTCCACTCCTGGCTCATTTTTCCGATTTGGTTTCTTTCTATTAAATTACACCAAGCATAGACTAAGAGTAAAGAATTTTTGAAGTGCCAGATCTTCCAGCAAAATGCCTGGTCGTCATTCGGACCGCGAAAGTTACATGGACCGAGATCCACTGTGCGTTTGCGGCGAGTAAACGCTTTAAAAGTGGCATCGCCTTTGAGGAGGGCTCAAGCGAGCGCGGTAGGAGGTGCGTTTGAAAATTCGCAATTCGGGCGCATGACCTCTCGGACGAATGGGCGGATTTAAACAAGCTCGAGCCTCGGCCGCCGCGCGTCGTCGCAAGCGCCCAAGCTCGCCTCTCCCCCCGCCCCCCCGGCCCCTCCCGCCGCCCCCCGCCCCCCGCCAGCGCCCCTCCCCCACCTCCTCTAGCCCCGCTCAAAGCTCCGCTACGTGGATAAAACTTTACTATCATTAATCTTCATCCAGCTAAAGAATCTGGGCGGAGCTTAACACTCCTCCTTTTCTATTTTTATTTATTCGCTCGTCCCCGCGCATCTATTTTCTCTCGGCTAGACGCGCAGCCAGCGCTCGTCTGCATTTTTCAAAAGCTCGCCCTTTGCGCTTTTAAAGTGCACTGATGAAAAAGTTCGATGTTATGGACTCTGCGTTTGCTGTCCCGTTTCCGATCGGGCTAATTGGTTTTCCGAGACGAACTTTCGGTCAAGGTAATATTAGTTACGGATTGAATCGGACTGGAAAAAAGCTCGGTTTCACAAACCGAACGTTCGGTTGTATGAACCGAAAGTTCGGTTAGAGGAACCGAAAGTTCGGTTAGAGGAACCGAAAGTTCGGTTAGAAGAAGCGGAAAGTTGCATGTACCATGGAGAAGCGAACGTTCAATTTGCGTAATCGGACTTTTATTTCAGCGTGCAGATCAGAAGCATCACAAATTACTGTTTTC